GATAAAGAAGAATAATGGAGGGGGTGAATTCAACTATGATGTAAGAACTTTTGTAAATGTCACAATGCACCCATTTCAAAAATAATGACAATAAAAAGAGAAAATTTATTCCAAAGAATAAATAAATAATTTAATTTATAACTCTGGCTTCAGATATTTTTATGTCTTCCTCAGAGCAAAATGGGTCTCTTGAGGATATACATGAACTGGCCTTTTGTAGGTTTATATTTCCCAACTCCTTTGCAAAATATGTTTCCCAAGACAAACCATGTATTAGTGTCCCCTTTGCTTGACTGCTTCATTTTCATTTCTGAGCTTTTATTCAAGTCATTTTCTTCTTCTTGGATTCTACCATCTCTTTTTATCTAATTACAATTCATTCTTCAAGGAAAGCTTGAAAAGTATAAAATGTGTGTGTGTGTGTGTGTGTGTGTGTACTACTCCTTGAGGAAACCCTGCTTTCATTTGAAAGTAATCCACTTGATGTTATCTACTTATGTTGCAAAGTATCTTTTTTGCCTGCCTACCTGGCCATAGACATATCCACCAAATCCATGTATCCATCCAACCACTTCATATGTTCTATAATTAAATTATAAATTATCCGGAAGCAGATTCTATAATTTGTGGGGTTTCCTTTCTCATTCTCTAATTTAGTATAGTACTTGGTTATACTATATATACTAATCAATATATATTTTATATAATTAGAGAAAAACAACAGTAAATGGTGTGTATACATACACACACACATATAGTGTTAAAATATGGTAAAACACAAAGTATTACTGGCTCTAACATGCTTTTCTGGCCTCAGTTTTTTTTTCTTTGCTCACCAGGAGAATCAGAAGTAACCAGGTTGTTGTAAGTCCTGATTATGCAGAGATGTTAATCACATATCAGGCAAACTCCAATCATCATGTTCTATCTTCTCTCCAAAAGGAGGAACAGGTAAGGATTATCCCACCTGATGATTCAGTTTTTAAGTTATATGTCATTTCTGGTGTTTTGATGGCAATCTGTAAGCTCTTTCATAGCCTTATTACCACCCTGTGTTATACTGATCTCTCTTCTTGTCATTCACCTCAACTAAGTTACATCTACTTAATTGTTTATGTCTCTAATATTTTATCAGTGAGTAAAAGTGAATGGCATGCAAAATATGTGCTACATGTATGGGTCGTTTGAAAATGATGGCAATCAATGTTGTTAGAATTTAAGACATAAAGGTCTGCTTCGGCATGTCATCCCTCCATTTGTCTACCCAATATCTTCAATCATATATTACTAGCAATGCTATCTAAAGTCATTGAAGATAATCCAGACATATTTGCAATGATAAATATTTGTTATATGTATAACAGCTGAATTCATTCACTTATCTATCATAATTTTCACTAGAAACCTTCTTACTCTGCATATTTTGGCCAAGGTCTGGGGCATGACCTTTTCCTTTTCCTTAGTACTTTCTTTCTAATCAGTACAGAAGCACCCAGAGCATACAAATTCTCCTTTGGCTCTTGGCTCCTGCTTTTACACAATGATCTCTTTTCCTGACACATATAGAGTACTTGCACTGTGAACAATGGACTCTGTAGAAGAGCAGAGGAAATAGCAATGGTTCACAGGCTGGGCTGTGAACTCGGCAACTTTGTAAAAATAATAATATTGCCAATATTTATTCCTTTTTGCATCCTCTGTACAGGAGTTTTGAAAGAGCAGTCTGACATAGTGATAGTCACATTAAAGTTTTGACTTGAAGAATTTTCATCCCTCCAGGGACCAGTGGTTCTAAATCAAAGAGAATGTCAGGATTTTAATCACCTAAACAGATCTCTAGCATGTAATGAAACTGAAGTAGCAATAAAGAGTCTCCCAAAAAAGAAAAGTCCAGGGCCTGACAAATTCACTACTGAATTCTACCACACCTTTGAAGAACTAATACCAACATTCCTGAATTTTTTCCAGGAAATAGCAAGGGAAGGAACACTGCCAAACTCATTCTATGAAGCCAGTAATAGACTCATCCCAAAACTGGACAAGAGCACAACAAAAAAAGAGAAATACAGACTAATCTCTGATGACTCTTGATGCAAAAATCCACAGTAAAATATTGGCAAACCAAAAGATCATACACCATGATCAAGTTGGTTTCATCCCATGGATGCAGGATTGTTCAACATATTGCAAATCATTAAAGTAATACAGCTTATTAAGAAAAGGAAAGACAAAAACCACATGATCATCTCAATAGATGCAGAAAAAGCCTTCAATAAAATTCAACATCCTTTCATGATAAAAGCTCTGGTGAAACTAGGACTAAAAGGACTGTACCTCAACATAATAAAGGCTATATATGACAAACCTACAGCCAATGGGAAAAAACTGAAACCATTTCCTCTAAGTCAGGAAGGAGACAAGGGTGTCCACACTCTCCACTTATTCAACATAGTCTTGGAATTCCTAGCCAGAGAAGTAAGACAAGAAGAAGAAATAAAAGGAATGCAAATTGGAAAGGAAGTAGTCAAACTATCCCTATTTGCAGATGACATGATCTTATACCTAAAAGACCCAGAAAACACAACTCCAAAGCTCTTAGAACCATAAACAGCTTCATCAAAGTAGCAGGATACAAAACCAATTTACAAAAACCAGTAGACTTTCTATACACCAACAATGAACAGATTGAGAAAGAATATAGGAAAATAAGTCCATTTGCAATAGCTTCAAAAAAATAAAATACCTAAGAATAAACTTAAAGGATGTGAAAGACTTCCACAAGGAAAACTATAAACCACTGAAGAAAGAAATCAAAGAAGACTGCAGAAGATGGAAAGATCTCTCATGCTCATGGATTGGTAGAATCAACGTAGTGAAAATGGCTATATTACCAATGGCAATCTACATGTTTAGTGCAATTCCCATCAAAATTCCAATGACATTCATCACAGAGATTGAAAAATCAACCCTAAAGTTCATCTGGAAGCACAAAAGACTGAGAATAGCTAAGGCAATACTGAAGAAAAAGAGCAATGTTGTAGGTATCACAATACCTGACTTCAGAGCCATTGCAATAAAAATAGCATGGTACTGGCACAAAAACAGATATGAAGACCAGTGGAAGAGAATAGAAAATCCAGATATGAATCCACACAGCTACACCCATCTGGTTTTTGACACAGGCATAAACATATGATGGAGAAAAGATGGCTTCTTCAAGAAATGTTGCTGGGAAAAGTGGGTATCTGCCTGCAGAAAACTGACACTAGATCCATGTCTTTCACCCTGTACAAGCATCAACTCAAAGTAGATTAACGTCCCTAATATAAGACCTGAAACTTTGAAGGTATTGTAGGAAAGAGCAGGAATACACTGGAATTAATAGGCATAAGTGATCATTTCCTAAATAGAACTCAAATGGCTCAGCAACTAAGAGGAAAGATTGACAAATGGGATTACATGAAATTAAAAAGCTTCTGCACAGCAAAAGACATGGTCTCGAAACTAAACAGGCAGCCCACAGAAAAACCTTTGTCAGCTATACATCTGACAAAGGACTAATAACCAGAATGTACAGGGAGTTCAGAAACTAAACTCCCAATAAATCAATGACCCAATGAAGAAATGGAGAAATTAAATGAACATAGCTTTCTCAAAGGAAGAAGTCCAAATGGCTAGAAAAACACATGAAGAAATGTTCAACATCCCTGGCCATAAAGGAAATGCAGTCAAAACCATATTAAGGTTCTACCTCACTCCTGTTAGAATGGAGAACACAAACAACAACCAATGTTGGTGAGGATGTGGGGAAAAAGGAATCCTCATACACTGCTGGTGGGAATGTAAATTAGAATAACTATTATGGAAGACAGTATGGAGGCTCCTCAAAATACTAAAAAAGAACTACCATATTATCCAGCAATTCCACTGCTAGGTCTATACCCAAAGGAATGTAAGTCAGGTTACAACAAAGGCACCTGCACACTCATGTTTATTACAGCATTATTCACAATAGCAAAGCTATGGGAACAGCCAAGATGCCCCACTACTGACGAGTGGAATTTTATTCCAGCACAAAGAAGAATGAAATTTTGTCATTTGCAGGTAAGTGGATGGAAATGGAGAACATCATTTTAAATGAAGTTAGCCAAAAGCCTCATGTTTTCTCTCATATGTGGAATACAGACCTATTACAAATACAGCAATATTGTGAAAAACAGGTCACACTAAGAGGAGGTCACATACAAGACAGGGAGAGCAAAAGAAGTTAAGAAGATGAATATGGTTGATGTACTCTCTATACAGAATGAATATAGAATTTTTAAACTTGTTGAAATCACCATAAGAAAGGGACTAAGGTAGAAAGAAGAAAAATAGAGATGAGCCAATTCAGGCTATAATACATATACACATGGATGTGCCACAAGGAAACTTCCTGTGTAGCTATCTCAAACAGTAAAAATGTCATTTTTTTTCTTTTACAAAATCAGAGACCAGGAGGGCAGAAGAGGTCCTTCTGGGGTGTTGGTACTAGTGGGAGGGAGGAGGAAGTGAGGGAAGGGTGTGGAGGGTGAATATGGTGCAAATACCGTCTACACATGCATGCAAATGGAAAAATGAGACCTGTCGAAATTATTCCAGGAATGGGGGAATAAAGGAGAATGATGGAGGGGGTGAACTCCAATGCAATATATGTTATATTGTAAGAACTTCTGTAAATGCTACAAAGTACCCCACCCAGCACCCAATAAAAAAATAAATAAAAGTGGTAAAATTTAAGAAAAAAATATTTTAGGGACTCTTCTGGGAAGAAACAAAAGAAAAATCAGTATGCAAAGAATGGTCTCCTTTTTCCTTAGGCTGACTCTCCAGAAGCCTTCCAAGGAAGCTCACTCTTAGCCCAAAGATCTTGAGACTGTCCTAAACCCAAAACCCTAATGGTGAGCTTCAGCGTCAGTCTGGAAGTCACACTGTCTCTGAGTCTGCCTTCATACAGAGCAATGCAGGTGGCTGTGGTGGCAGCAGACCTGCTGTTGCTCCTGAGCGTGGCATGGCTGTCAGACTCTCTCTGCTCACCCACCATTTTCTACAGAGACTGCTGGATCTGCCGATTCCCAGGTCTGCTCATTGAGCTGCAGGAATCTCAGAAGCTGGGAGCCCAGTTCTTGAAGTATTACTCTGAGAGCACTGGCCAGAAGTGCAGCAGGAACTGCTGTCTTAGGAAGGACAGCAAGTATTAATGACATACCTTAGCAAAAGTAAGGGGGACGGCCAAGACCGAAGGCCTAGGTAAGGAGGAAAGGGAAGAGGTGAAAAGGACCAGAAAAGATGCACTGGGATGAAGGAGGGAGAGAGAGGGGGGAGAGGGAGAGGGAGAGAGATTGAGACTGACTTTAGCATGCTGTATTTACAAATGTAATAATGTCTTAGAATGCCACATGACCTCCAGAAACCAGAATCTTATTTTCTTCAAAGAAGTGTGAAGCGAAAATATTTCCTCCAGGGTTAACTAACAACATTTTTATAACCCCAAGAATGACAGATATGATTTCAAAAATGTTTGCAGTATTTTGTTTTTTTAAAGTACTTTTTGTTGATATTAGTATTGTATCATACTAATTTTTTGAACTTTGTTTGCTTGGGTTGACAAAACACGGGATGCATTGGCCAGGAAGGCTGTCAATCATGTTTGAAACATAGGGATATGTATATCAAATAGCAAAAAAATTAAATCATATTCTCACATTTCCATAAAAGACTATTTCTCTGCAGTATGGAATCTGGGTGCAAACATTATCTATATAATATGATAAGGCCTTCAATTAGGAAAACAGTTCATTCTTGCAGAATTTCAGGTTGCAATTGCCTAAAGATTTATTCCATTTACTTTTCACTTGCCTCGTGATTTTAAAGGTAGTTGGAAAGAAACAACAGAAACAATAAATGCTTTAAAGTGATTCCTGGGCTGGTGGAGTGAATCAAGTGGTAGAGTGCCTGCCTAGCAAGTGTGAGGCCCTGAGTTTAAAACCCCAGTACTGCCAAAAAATTAAGTAATTCCCTTGTTTCACACATTTTAAAACCATGATCTGATACCAGTTTGTTAATTGGTATCTACAGGGACATGATTCCAAGGAGCCCATGTGGAAGAAACCCTTGTACATTCAGGGTGGATAGAGTTCAGGGCTGTCCTGTGGATGCTGGATTCATTTTGCCCATCAAACCACCCCACTTCTTCTAAATCCATGCTCTTTCAGAAAAATCCCAGATTTTCACTTCAATTAAGCACATTTACTTTTATCTTGCTTTTTGGGCAGCATTTGCTTCCTGGGAAGCAATACTGTATTTTTACAAAATCAAGGGCAGGGGACACTCGGCAGATCCCACAATGATTTAAACACAACTGATGGTTATCATCCACAGAGCTTCTCCCCATCCAGTGACTGCAGAATGTGTATGGGAACTTAAAATGTTTTTGAAATTTTGATTAAAATTTTTATTTTTTGAATGTAGTTGGTTGAAAATACTTGTAATAAACCCACAAATAAGGCAAACTTATTGTCTAAACCTCCAGAAGATTTTGTAACAAATTGAATTTTTCATGAACATAAAATGCTGAGACTAAAATATAATGATTATAGGTATTTTTGTGGGAAGGAATATATAAAGGAATACTTAGAGAAAATCATTAGATGTGTGATTAAAAAAAAGGCATTACAATATCATAATGTTCTACAAAATGGCTAAATATAGCCCTACAGTATAGTTTTAATCCAGTGTTCCTGAAAGAAATGTAAATCACTCAGAACTCATCAAACTGGGAATGGAGCTGGGCATGGTGGCCCACTCTTGCACCCCACACTCTGGAGGCTGAGGCAGGAGGATGGTGAGGCCAGTCTGGGACATATAACAAGACTGACTCAAACAAATAAGCAAAAACTGGTGGAAATCAAGATCCTCTGAAGGTGTGCTTTGTCTGTTTCCTTTTCAGTTTCCTGTAACCTGGCTGTTTTCTTCCATGATCCGATTCATGACAATGTCAACTGCCTCCACATCCACTGTCCCACGTTGGAGAGCTGCATATTAGAGCCTGGAACCGGTGCCATTCTGTACAACATAACAGATGGTAATGATTCTGCATTGAGACTTTTGAAGGATGCTGGAAATACTCTAGAAGAGACATATAGTCTAGAAACTGGCTGGTAATGGCCATGGATAGGCTCTACATCACTATTTTCCAGTGACCTCTGTCTAGAGATGGTTTGTACATCCTGGAAAGAAAACTGAAAGGAAATTCCCCTTAGTTTGGCACAGTCAGCAATGACAAGTTCATTCCAGATGATAAATTATGGGTAAATGAACAAGAACTTAAAGTACCATATTTCAGGAACCCTCAACAAAAGCTAAGTAGGCATTCCACTGTGGTGGCTGAGGGAGCCATCTGTAATGCCAGTACTAGGGAAGCAGAGGTTGGAGGATCTTGAATTGAGGCCAGCCTAGGATATAAAGTAAGACTCAAAGGTAAAGAAGGAAGGGAGGGAGGGAGGGAGGGAGAGAGGGAGAGATGGAGGGAGGGAGGGAGGAAGGCTGGCTAATGGGCTATGGACAATGTATACAATGATTCTACAAAGATGGAAGTCAAGGACCAAGAAACACACCATGGACATGTTGGGCCTGGGGACCTGAAGGACAGATGAGTATCCCATCTCCCATGGAAAGCACTATGAGCCCTGCAACCTGACAAGGAGATACATGGCCTCATAAATCTGCCCTGGGGCTGATAGACAGGATGCTGTCAAGGTTGCCCCCCCACCATAAGGGGCAAACAGAGCAGCTCATTGAAGAGAGCCTACACAAGCAAATCCAAAACCAATGGAAAGAACCCACCTAACCCTTACCCTAAACCTGAGTTAAAGTATCCATAAAAAGCCCCAGCCTTCACCTCAGCAGGGAGGGAGCCACAGGTTTCCAGGCTCTGCCACATTCTTCTAGCTGCAGCCTTTTCTTTTTCTAATAAATCTACCTGTGTGTGCACTATCCATGTCTTGTGAGCTTATTCCTAAGCCCAGCAAAGACAAGAACCCATGGTGTGGGCCCCCTGTACCCCACAACAGACATACATCCTCTCACTAGTCAAGATAACCAGTGTATTTTATTGTAGAAAAATGCATCTTTGAGTCCTTTGCCAATGTACAAAAGAATAGTGTTTGCCATCAAAATACAAAGGAGATAAATTTCTTTATTGATTTGTATTCATTGACTAATATTCCAGGCTGGGCTCAATAGCTACACCTCTGCCCTCATGTTTCCTATAATCTAGTTGATGTAATGAGTTAAGACAATCCATATAGAATATATAACTAAACGCAAAAATGTGTGATGCAGCCTCAGTTCAAAGGCTGTAAGAAAGGGAGACTGAAGGAAGCCAGCTTATTCAGGGGAGGCTTCTTGGAAGAGGCAACAAGGTAAGGAGTTGTGTATCACACCACAGGAAAGTGAAAAGCTGGTCTGGCTACAATAAGGACACATTTGAAGTCACAATGGAAATATGGCAGAGAGAGGGTGGGGCTGGCCTTCCAGAAGTCTATGGGTAGAGTTTTGGAATGACTTTGCCAGAAGGAGAGAATCAAGCCAGGTGCAGTGTCTTAGACCTTTAATCCCAACCCCATAAAGCTGAGGCAGGAGGATTTTGAGTTTAAGGCTGGCCTGCCTCACAACAACAGCAACAAAGGAATGTGGAATTAGCGAGGCATTTAACAAGACACCGCAATTGAAGTGAGAATTCTGATGACCTTAGTCTAGAAACATTGTATGTGGGACAGAGTAGAAAATCTAGTCAAGAAAGCATTTGATCTACACAAGGTGATGGTAGTTGTCATGAAAAGGGTAATTACGCGAACACTGGAAAGAAGGATTAATTACTTTGTGTGTGAGATTCTGGGAACTGAACCCAGGGCTTTGAGCATACTAGGCAAGTACTCTACCACTGAGCTGCATCCCCAGCCCTTAGTTACCTTTGAAATGAAGGAAATGAAGAGAGAATGTTGTGGGATACTCAAGCAGGAAAACAGGGCATCAAGGCTTTTAGGGAAGCAGTGTTTATTAGCATGCTGGCAGTGGCTCAGTGGATTCCCATCCAAAGGCTGAGCCCCGAGAACAAGGGCCCTTGCTTATATACCCTTGCAAGCAGGTTACAGAAGCGAGAAGCAAAGTTTAACCCATATACGGTTATTTACAACTTCATCCTCAGTGCTACATGACCTTCTCAGGTTTAGTTTCTTTAAGTTTCAGTTTTCTGCCATGTCTTCCCCTCCTCTCCACTACAAGAGAAGGCAAAAATCATTCTTGCCATAGATTCCAGGATGGGTGACAGGGTGATAATGCCACTGGCTGAGACAAGGAGGCAGAATGATTTTGGCTCAGACATATTCAGTAGAGATGACGTGAGCTGTCCAGGCAGAAGCCTCCAGTGAAACACTGAGGGCCATCACTGTAGTGTGAAGACTGAGAACAATCTCCTTGTGTGTGTGGAAGGCTGGGAAGCAGTGAAAAGAAAACACAACAGAAGCCCAAGGACTAAAGAATGTGGAAACGCCACCAGTTAGCAAGAAGAGAACCAGCAAAAGAAGTAAAAATGGGAAGCAGGGAGTGGGGGTAAAATGCCAGGGGGCCTGGGGTCCAGGGAGTCATGGGAGAAGAATTTCAAGAAAAGGATGGTCAGCAGTATCGAAGAACAACAGAAAAGCCAAAGCAATGAGGTACAACTGATTAGGAAACAGAAAGGGTATCAGAAGAATAATTTTGACAGAAGGGTGAGGAATGAAACAAGAAACTAAGGTAAAACAAAGTCAGAAAGGAAATGTAAATTGGCATGCTTTTAGAGAGAGAGAGAGAGGAGAGAAGAGAAAGTGTGTGTGTGTGTGTATGTGTGTGTGTGTGTGTGTGTGTGTGTGTGTGAGAGAGAGAGAGAGAGAGAGAGAAGGGGAAGCTTTTTTCTTCCCCTCTAAAGACAAAGCAGTTTGGGCATGTGTAAAGTCAGAGGAAAAGGAGTTAGATACAAAAACTGAGAAAATAGTAAAATAAAGCAAGACCCTTGGGGATTTCATGACTTTGAATAGTTACCTTTCTCTGACTCTATTTTATCCTACTGCATTTAAAAATGTTATCTAGTACCTCACATGATTACTGTTTCCCCAGTACACACAACACTCACTATTGCTGTGCCAAAGCCCTGGCACACACAAGCCCAATTTGTTCAAAGCAGAAAGTGTCCTAGGAAGAGAAAATAAGCTGAAATGTAGCTGGTATGTGTCTAAGCTTTTCAGAAGTTTCCAATGGTAGAGTCTGTATTTAGCTTAGTTCAATAATTCAGAGTGGGAAAATCTGACTCTCCAAACCATGTATTAAGGCTTTCTCTTTGAAATTGAAAATAAAATAAATAATATCTTATTTATCTTTCAGGTAAAGATCCAGATTTGCTGGTTTTTGAGCAATCATCTCCCTTTGATCTAAATACCCACTCTTCATCTGGTAGGTGGGACAGACTAAGGATCCTAAAAGCTATGAATTTAGACAAACAACAAACCACCATGCTCAACTACATGCTGCCATCAATAGAGCCTCCATCATCAACTACACATCAAGATTTGGTTGCAAACACAAACAATACTGGTTACCAAGGAATTAACCACAGATTTGGGGGCAAAATTCATTTCCCTAAATGACCCCATTACCACCAAAGTAAATAAGGAATCACCAAGTACTGACTTCATCAACAATCCAAACAATGAAACTATTTCTCCTTTGTGCCCACAGACACAAAACGTTCTCATGTGCCTATCCCATCCGGACTCAACAGTAGCAAACAATTACTGAACAAGACCAAGGGGTCCAACAGCAGAAATCACACATCTGAAAATGAAGATGAGACACCTGGTGGGGCATCTGTGACCTCAAAGACCTGGCTGGCTTCTCTGGCCTTGTGTACCGCTGTCATCTTCCTTTGCTGTTGTGTAGTCATCCTGGCATTTGGATGCTGTCGGAAGCAACAGGGCCAGTATACACTAGGACAGAGAAAGTCAGGATCGAGACAAAGTAAAAACTGCAATACATTGAGGCAGAACTCTTTAAAAGTTGGAGTGACGTTATAACATTTCAAGGGTTTCATTTTCAGTTTTCTGTAAGCCATGGGGAATTTGGTTAAAAACATAATTATCTAGGATGTCCACTCCTACCAACCTCTAAAAAGGTCAATGCTTAGTAAACATAAGTCTCACTCCAGCAGTTGTCATTTAGCCCCATGTCAGAGACAGTTCTAAGTGCATTAACTACCTGCACACTTACAACTCTGCAAGATAGGTGGACTGTTATTAACCATTACCATTGCATAATACTGTTATCACACAATTACTATTGCATTTGACAGATGAGGAAACTGAGGTGAAGAGTGGGTAGGCATCTTGGCTGAAGTCACACAGCTACAGTGAGGCCAGGATTTAACCACAGGCAATCTAGTTCAAAAGACTTAAAAAACCACTGCTATTCCAATAAACATGACATAAAAGATGCCATCGACAAGGTCAAATTATTGTCACGTATCACTTTACTGATTTGAGCCAAAGAGCATTATTAGCTACCAACTAATCCATAAGCAAATGCTTCCTGATTTTTAAGTTGGATTGATTAATCCTTCTCAATCCCAATCCACCATCCTTATTTTCTAAAGCTGAGATGCCTTTCTGAAACTGTGGTACTGAGCCTCTTGAGTTTTCCATTGACTTCTGTTGAATAAAGCTTGAGAATTTTAGTATGCATCCTTTTCTTGTATAGTTTACCCTGGTATAAATATTATCTCTACTTTTTTTGCATCCATCCAAATCTTTTGTTGTTGTGGCAGTGCTGGAGATCACGCCCAGGATCTCCTGCATACTAGGTGAATGCCACACCAACCAAACCCCATCTCCAGCCCTGCTCTGTCCACATCTTCTAGCCCTTCATCTCATTCCTCAAAGAAAGCCATTAAGCACAAAGGGTAAGGGAAAATCCTATTACAAGATGGATTAATACTGTTTAGTATGGATAAATACTGGATAGCATGAGTTCATCAAATGTTAAACTGTCTAGTGTCTTAAAAGATGATTTTCTTTAAATGTATTCAGTCTTCAAATGTATTGAAATTAGGTGGAAAAGGAACTTGCTATTTCTTTTAATATAGAAACATACAAAATCTCTAGCAATGGACATCAACCACAAATAAAAATCTGATTAAAAATTTAATGATTGAGAGGCTGAGATAGGATCGCAGCTTGAGGACAAATAGTCGATGAGACCCACATCTCCAAAATACCAGAGTGAAATGGACTAGAGGTATGGTAGAGTGCCTGCTTTGCAAGTATGAAACCCCAAGTTCAAAACTTCAGTTCTACTCAAAAATAAATAAATAAATAAATAAATAAATAAATAATCAGTGAAACTTAACTTGCTAGCGATTCATAATATTAAGTATTACAAATCTTTTTGGCACTGAGGTTTGAACTCAGGACCTCACACTTGCTAGGGAGGTGTCCTTACCACTTCAGCCCTCCACCTGCCCTTTTTTGTGATGGGTTTTTCAAGATAGGCTCTCACAAACTATTTGCCTGGGGCTGGCTTTGAACCTTGATTCTCCCGAGTAGCTAGGATTACAGATTTGAGCCACCAGTGCCTGGCTCATAAATCTTACTGATTTATTTCCTAATACATTAGAGGAATAAAACTATTTCATAGGTGGAGGAAATATCAAGATTTAAATTATAAAATTTTATTTATGGTTTTATTTATTTTTTTGCAGTGCTGGAGACTGAACCCAAACCCTTGCACATGTTAAGAAAGTTCCCTACCACTGAGTTGCACTCCCAGCCCCTTAAAATTATATTTAAACAAATTCAGGAAACTGTCTTTATAAGTTATTTGTACATTCATTCTCTTAGAAACCTATATACTTTTAATTATGTACAAATTACTTAGAAGTTTTCCAAAAACTTCTAAGAGGGGGAAAAAATGTTGTCCTCCTTGGGTTTTCTTAGACGTTTACTCATTCCTTCAAGTTCAATTGAGAAAAATATAACTACCCTTGCAAGGAAACAAACATACTCCATTTCTTCCTCAGCCCCTACTTTTGTCCTTCAGATAAACTCAGTAAACTTGGCTTGAAGAGACAACCTTGACTACAGTCAGGCAAAAAGCACAAATAACTGGGGCTACAAGGCTCTGTAATAACTAGAATCCAAAGATAACCAAATAAAATTTACAATTTTATTAAGAAACAACCAAAAACTTCATGGCCCAATCAATAACTAAGGCTAATGCTGTTATGCCTGTTTAGGAAATAACCACGAAATCTCCCCAACATTGTAACTTACCAGTCCTTTCTAATACGTCTGTTAACTATCCAGTATTCTGAAATACTAATATTGGAACAAAAATAGGTAAAGCACCTTACAACTAATAGCACAGATTTGACCTGTTTCTCAGTTGTGTATTTAAACTTCTCAGCTTCACTACTTAGGAATTTGAGGTAAAAAATGGCTGCACTACCAATAAAGAAAAAAGTATTATGAGGATCCCGAAGAATCCTCATAATGATGGATGATGATGTTCATTGTATATATTGCAACAATTAACAGATTTTAAAAGACAAATGATCCATTAATGACAAACAGTGCTGCTTAATTATTGCTAAAATTACAGTAACAGCAACTGTCTTTTTGAGACACTTCTGTATTAACCTCATAGGTCTTAAGGTTTTGCCACTAGACTTCAATGACTGCAATCTAAGTTTTCAAGCAATTTCTTGGAATTGGCTAAGCTGCTGAAGCAAAGGTGGCACAGTTTTCCTACAAGACTGTCCTTATTTCTGACACCGTGTGTAAATTGGGAATGTTTGCATACCATCTCCAGGTTAGATAATTCACTGTATGAACTCACAGAACTCAATGAAAACTACTATTTGCACAGTTACAGTTTATTACAAAGAAAAGGTACATCCAAGGGAAAAGGCAAATAAATTAAAGTCCAGGAAGGTTTCAGATGCTTAGCCTCTGGGGTCCTCTCTGGAGTTGTTATAGGAAACTCAAACAGAGACATGGGACTCTGAGGCAAGTAAGCAACACTTTATTGTGCTGGCACAGAGTCAGCAACTTGTTTCCAAAGGCTAAGCCCCAAGAACAAAGGGGTCTCACCTTATGTACCCTTGCAAGCAGATTATAGAGGTAATAAAATAAAAAAGAAACAAACACGGTTTAACACATATATGGTTATATGCAGTTCTATAGGCTGCTTCACCCTAGTGCTAAGTGCCCCTCTACCCCTAGTCCTACGTGACTTTCTTCACATTTGGATTCTTTAGGTTTTATCTCTCTGCTATGCCATCCCTTCCCCCTGCTACTTTATCAGAACACAGGCCTGTTTCTTTTGTGGTCCTCCTCCCTGCTACAAAGTCAGGACACTACTGTCTGGTATCATTATGTGATAACTGCACGGTCTTACTAACTAGAGAAGCTTGTCTGAGTCTGAAAGTCCAAAGTTTTTACTGGGGCTCCATCACACAGGAATGACTGACTCACTGATTGCCTGGGTACTTGATCCCAGCTGCCAGGTGGACTGATACCATGTGACCCAAAGCCCCCACCCTGAATCATATAGTTGGTTTTTCTGGCATGGCTGGGTCTACCCTCAAATCTTTTTGCACTGGCTCCCACCCTACACAAAGACCCTCCTATCAGGCATTATATAGATTGCCTCTCAGAGGCTGAGCATAAAGGCCAGACTGGTTTCTGGGCAAGGATGGACATTTTACACACTATACCCTCTGTTTTTACCTGCACTGTTAGTACACAACAGACCGCCCTTAACCCAAATGGTCTCCCCTCAGCTTCCAGTGTTTTCAAAATGTTCCCTTCTTCAACCCCATTTTGTATCTATTTTCCTTCACTCCACATTTTAATTTAAGAAAAAACCAGGTTCTTCCTATTTAGCTCAGTCTGGCCACAAACTCAGAATCCTCCCGAGTGCTGGGATTATTCACTTGCACTGCAACTGTACTAACATACTTCCTAAATGCTCTAAACATGACCAGAAGTCATTTTTACCTGTTTGCTTTTTATTCACTATCTGCATCCAGTGGAACACAACATACTCCCTTTTCTCTTTTATATTCAAAGCCACATTTTTGTCTTTTATAACCTGAGGACTTTGTCCTTGCTAATACCAAATTAAACTTCATTTTATACAAATGCTTTAGATAACAGATGTGAGATAGTTTTTTACTTTCATTTATATTCTCTAATTCTGTTAGGCAAAATATGTCTATTAGCAAGTGACCTCTTAATAATTCCTTTGTTGTGACTGTAAATGAACCACCTGTCAACAACTTGGGAAGTGTTAAGAAATGACTTGCAAATATACTTAAAATGACTGCCTTGGGCTAGGAATCTAGCCCCAAGAACACAGTTTGCACCAAGTAAGCAAGAGGCCATGTGTTCAATTCCCAGCACTAGAAAAAAAAAAAAAGTTTTAACAGCTAAACTCAAACTCAATGGCATGCTTCTTAGGACAGTTTTCACTTTGTCATTTACTCCAATTAAACTGAAGGTCTTCACACTGCACTCTTTCCTGAGCTCTACCTGGGGCATCGAGAGGGGTGAACACCAGGTAGTATCTACTTGTACTTTTCCTCCAGCCTGGGTTTGCAAAATGAGCTCTAAAACATAGAAAGCAGGATGCTAAGCAGAGCTAAATCAACATAAAGTGCCCCTATAAGGGAGGAAGGGAAGGAACAAGTTTTTAGATTAGAAAATATCCCTGAGGACCTGATTCAGCCCAGAACTGGAAACAAGTCAACAAAGCGCTGAAATGCAAGTCAGGGAGCTGGGTTCTGGGCCTGGCTTTCCAAATAACTGAAGTGTTCAAGAACAAGCACTAAATGCCAATCTGGGAGGAAATAAATATGGCAGTGACAAGCAATCAAATATATATAAAATATGAATATTAAAGTTATATAGAAAAAATAACACCTTAGAGTCTAAGCAATCAGTGATCTTCTAATTAACTGTTCTGGTGTATAAACTAAAAACTCTAAAATAATCACTGTCACTGTGCATTAGTAAGAAAGATTATTTTAATGACATGAAGTGATGGTTTTAAAACATTTTCACTTCTATGTGAAATTAGATATTGCTTACATGCATCATAAAATTAGTAAGCCAGAGCAGATTTTTGTACTTCAAAATTCATGTCAAATTCAACAGTCTCTTCACCGATTCTTTGTACTGAGAAAGGTTAATTTCATTTTCCCCTTCATTTTTAAGACTAACAACACACTTTTGGTAATCTTCAACTTCTTCAGTACCAAGGAGCTCTTCTTTATTTACTTCCAAATTTTTCTCAGCAGCTTTAATTTGAAGAAGTGTTTCCAAGATACTTTTTTCTGAGGAGCTATTTTTCCACACATACTCTTCCATGTCTGCTTTGGTCTTTCTTTTTTCCCATTCTTCAGTTTTCTAAAAGAAAAAAAAAGAAAAGAAAAAGAGAGAGATATGAATTCTGGGAAATGTTACCAAAAGACAAAGTGTTTTTATTTGTTTTAGGGGAAGAGAATTGTGCAAAATGTGGAATATCTGATTAACACTTTGTACGCACATCTGGTCTGGCTGACAATCTGGGCCAGCCGTAATGGCTCACACTCTATTCCGTGACACCAGTCATTCAAGCTGTGCTACTTCTCACTAGTTCTAGCTATATAATTTACAATTTGTCTACTTTGCAAATTTCACTTATAATACAGCTATCCTGTTTTCCAACAAATACAGGGAATTTGCAGTGTTCTATTCCCTAAAGCTTAACACATCAACACTTCACATTACTGAGGTTTAAAATAATGAACTGAGACTTATTTATCTTTGCAACATGCTTGTGGGAATAACAGGAGAGAATAGTTATAATAATAAAATTAAAAAATACCATATCTCTGCACATTTGTATGCAATGCATGGTTTTTGTCATGACTCTATAGCTTCTAGAATTTTGTTACCTTTGTTTCCATAATGCAAAGAATTTTCATTGGTATGTCTTTTTGCTTTCTGTTTTTTTGTTTCTTTTGTTCTTCTGGTATTTTTTTTAATTACAAAAATTATTACCATGCTATTTCGGGAACACTGGCAGGTTTAACAGTCATATAATTCAGATCTGTGATTTAATGGAGATGTAACATTCTGTGAAAAACCAAACAACATAACTAATATGTCCTAGTTCACAGATTCTTTCCAAATTAACATAATATTCTGAGCTGTGTACTATTAAAGAATCATCCACTATAAAGGTGGAAAGCTATTACAAGAAGTATATTTGTAGATGGACATGGTGGAACAACTCGCCTGTCATCTAGCTATTTAAGGAGTTGGAGATAAGAGGGTTGTGAGTTCAAGGACAGCCTAGGCAAAGTTAATGAGACCCCCCCCCCAGCTTGGAAACAAACACTGAAAAGGCCCCAGCTTGAGCAGAGAAAGCTCCAAGGCTCCTCAGAGCTAAGTGTGTGAGTGTCAAGCAGGTAAACAGTTTCCACCCATGTAACCCTCTTACCCCTACCCCTCCACAACAGCCCACTGGAAAACAAAGGAGAATGTAATCCGATGGTAGAGCATTTGTCTAACATATGCAACCACTGAGGTTCAAGGAAGAGGCTCCCTCACCACACAGAGACCAGTAAGAAGAAATCTTCCCCTGAATCCTTTAAAATAAACCAATATGGTTGGGAGTGTGGCTCAAGTGGTAGAGTGTCTAACATCTGTGAGACCCTGAGTTCAAATCCCAGTACCACCAAAAAAAGAGAGAGTGAGAGAGAGAACGAGCAGAGGAGAGGAAACCAATAAGGTACAGAGTGTATTCTCTGACCCCAAAATGTGGGGTATTCTGCTCTCACAATTGTTGCACGTTTGCCCTACTGTCCTAAAAACTGAACTGATAGATGCAGGCAGTGTCCCAGCACATGTTCTAGAAATAATTTATCCAGATGACAATCAACCCTCTGCCCACCTTTTACCTGGCAGGGAAGCTTTTAGTTTGGCATAGGGAGATGCAGACATGTGAAACTGCTTCTTATTGTACTCCTCTCTACACCGGTCGCAAATAATTTCTAACAGTCAAACTGAATTTGTTTTGTTCTGTACATTAATTTCTTCATAATTCCAACTTACAAGTGAAATATGCTTAATTTAAGAAGCTAATGAATTCATTTTATAAAGCATTAAGTAAAAAGTCACTCCATCTCATTCCTGACTGCTAGAAGACAACAAATTAAGTGACCTAGTTGTTTAAAAAATTCTACATTTCATCCAGGTGTCGTCTGGACTTTCTATAATGCTTTAAAGTAGATGTTTATAGGAAGTTAGTAGCCAAAGTAAACCCACTAATAATTTCTATTCCATTTATCCTGCCCCTCCACCTAACATATATACACTTCTGCCAAGGTGGTACAGGTGTGCCATAATGATCCCCTCAGTTCTGGATTCTCCAGAAGCAGGGAGAATCACATTCTTTGCTAATTTATTGCAGTAAGAGATTTTCCAAGTGCACAATGGCATGAAAAGGTAAGGAAACCCTGTACTACAGGAAAATGTACGTTTACAGGAAGAAATCACTACTGCTCCAAAAGAGCAACATTCTGTAAAAGGCATGGCTTCTCACTATCCTCTTACCACCACAATACAGCGCTGAACTACAGCTGCAAGCTGAACACAATTCACATTTTCTACATACACGAGCTTTAGCGTCCAAGCCGTGTACAGCTGAATATAAAATACAAGAGAATGATCCAACAATCTCAGCTAATCCAACGCTTCCTGTCATCAGGTATCTCAAATACCTACATGCATTAATTACTGCATACACTGTAATTCTCACTAAGATAAGAAAACGATGCGGTATACCAGTTAAATAGAGGGCCATGATCTCTTACAGGGTTTCAGATTTCACAATTTCCTGTATTTTAGGAAATTTAAATTTCCTAAATTTTTCTTGTATTTTAGGAAATTAAAATATATGGCAGTGCATATGCCATATATTTTGTAACTCCTCCAGAAAGGGTCTACAGCAGCACCTCCTAATCTAACCCATTACTATTTTTACAGCAAGTTATCAATTGTTCACATTAAACGGGATAAACAAAAAACACAAATATCCAGGTTTAGGCAGGAAGATTACAGGAGCCCAGGTATCTGAGACCAGTCTGGGTGACACAGTGAGAGCCCATCTCAAAATAAATTATAAATAAAATAGCTCCTCAGCCATTCAGGACCCATTCTTCCTATCCTACCAAGTAAGTTATGAAAAGACTATCAATTTTCTTCCTATCCTACCAAGTAAGTTATGAAAAGACTATCAATTTCCAAGGTATTCTGGATTTCAGAATACAAATATAGAGCTGTATATCAGAAATTTGCTCAATGTCACAGAGGAGGGAGGTGGGATAACAAAACACACACACACACACACACACACACACACACACACACACACACACACACGCTCGTGTTTCTCAGGCCTGAATTCAAATCCTAGCTTTACCTGTGATAAGTAAGTCCCTTGAGCTTGCATCTCTATCAGCTCAGACTTCACGGGGCTATTCCAAGCATTAAGAGAGTAAAGGATGGCTATATATGACAGCACGTGGCTCACAGTAAACACTAACTAAATATTTGTTATTGATAACATAACTGCAAATAAGAGTGGACTCACACATCTGCCTACCTCTAAAACCTATGCACTATGCCAAGGGTTTGGGAGGAGTATTTATGGGGGAGTTTCTATGAAACATTTTGGAGAATGTCTTCAAAGTGAACATGACATGTGCCTACCACTGCCACTATCAAGCAGTAAGGTGAAACTCTAAAGGTAAATACACCTAGCTCTCAGGAGGCAAAAGCAGGAAGATCATGAGTTTGAGGCCAGCTTAGGCATCAAACAACAACAAAATAAGGTAATACGAATTTACACATACTTGCCCCAAATGTTTTATCATTTTATTCCCACTCACAAAATGACGGGTATCTTTAAGCCTGATAGAATATACACAAATAAGAGGTTTTAATTCTTTGTCACTTATCTAAAGGTGACATTTTTCTTCCTTTTTTTTTCCTGCTGCAGTGGAGATTGGAACTCAGGGACTCATGGATGTGATGTAAGAACTCTACCACTTGAAAATGGAAAAATGAGGCCTTTCAAAACTATTCCAGGAAAATGGGGGGAAGAAGGGATAAAGGAGAAGGATGGAGTGAGTGAATTCAACTACGATATAGTGTAAGAACTTTGGTAAATGTCACAATATACCCCAGTACAACAGTAATAAAAATAAATAATAAAACTGTCCAAGGTGGTATTTTCATAATGCTGTTACTTCCTATCTTCCTGATAAATGAACCTCAGATGAAGATGATGTTATTTTTGGACTGAACCCAGAGCCTTGCACATGCTAGGCCAGCACTTTACCACTTACCTATACCCACAGCCAGAATTCATTTTCTTACACACCTCTTTTTAAAATAACTATGTTATCTTCAGTTTTCATGCAGTTGCCTTTGGGTGTAAGCTTTTTTGGTCTAAACAACTCAGATTACAATACCCAGACACGTGGAGATACCATCTCTAAACAGAAGGGATGGATGGATAGATAGACAGACAGACAGATCCTCATCCATTCAGGTCACAATTTATGACCAATAAGACCAAAAGTAAGCCTCTCTTAATAACATTTTGTACCAGGTCACTGTTAGGATTAAAAAAGAAATCTAATTTCTAAAGCCCCATGATAAATATTTAAAAAAAATTTACAGAAACACAAGAGGACACGAAAAGCCAAAGCAATACTCAGTCAAAAGAACAATGCTGGAGGTATCATGATACCCAACTTCAAACTATATTACAAAGCAGTAACAATAAAAACAGCATGGTACTGGCACAAAAACAGACATGAACCAGTAGAACAGAATAGAGGACCCAGATATGAAGCCAAACAACTATAACCAACTTGTCTTTGACAAAGGTGCTAAAAATATACGATGGAGAAAAGACAGCCTCTTCAACAAAAACTGCTGGGAAAACTGGTTAGCAGTCTGCAAAAAACTGAAACTAGATCCATGTTTATCACACATGCCAATATTAACTCAAAATGGATCAAGGATCTTAACATCAGACCCCAAACTCTAAAGCTGATACAGGAAAGAGTAGGAAATACTCTGGAATTAATAGGTATAGGCAAGAACTTTCTCAATGGAACCCCAGCAGCTCAGCAACTAAGAGACAGCATAGATAAATGGGACCTCATAAAGCTGAAAAGCTTCTGTTCATCAAAAGAAATGGTCTCTAAACTGAAGAGAACACCCACAGAGTGGGAGAAAATATTTGCCAGCTACACATCAAAGGACTGATAACCAGAATATATAGGGAACTCAAAAAACAATTCTCCCAAAATTAATGAACCCATAAAGAAATGGGCAAGTGAACTGAA